CCCTAACCCTAACCCTAACCCTAACCCTAACCCTAACCCAACCCTGACCCTAACCAGAACCCTAACCCGGACCCTGGTTTGAGCTTACCTTACTACATTAGTCAGCCTTGGAAACTTCACGTGGTCATTGCTTACGGAGACTACCTTGAGAGAAAGGGACTTACGAGAAAGCGAATACCTTTCGGGGTATTTGCGGGACTTCTTCGGAGACCTTCGAAAAGAACCTATTTTAAAGGGTCCCGTTAGCACTACTAAACAGAACCGTAGAGTCACTTAATACAAGGGGAAAACTGACTTAAGAAAAGAAATGGAGCTCACGATAGAAACGGCGCAATACCTTCGATGAAAAGAATAAGAAGCGACAATCAAGAATCTCGCCCCTTGCATATTGCTATAGTATACAATAAAAGAGGATATCGGGTCATATATATAGACCGTAGACTTAGTAGCATCGCGTATATACTTTCGCTTATCGTGTCCGGCTACGCCGCAAAGTTTACTCGGAACGTCAAAGTTAAAGTTTTGCACTTTGCTAACTAGATGCACAGCCTACCTTAGCGAAGTATTTAATAGACTTTATGCACGCATATATACGCGCATGCGCGCATATATACACGCTTATCGTCGTATTAAATATACGAAACCTTAGAAGGCCGCGCGTCTAGTCTAAGTTTGCGCGATTAATATAACTCGAATCCTTCGATATTAATACACTTATATAAATCCTTCAGATCGAGGACTAAGGTTTACGAGTGAGCAAAGGTATTGATTGTATGACTTACTCGGCCTATACCGAGCTTACGCCGAAGCCTAAGTATATAATACCTAGCCGCCGTACGAGTCCTTAAAGAGCCAAGCGAAACAGTTTGATTCTTTGCAATTGACTATCGGACTCTTACTCTTCTTGATTTCAATCTGCCTTCTAGCTACTCTTTAACCTTAACTCTTTATTGATTGTTTGCACTTAATCTAACTATGCCTTCCACCGTTGTCTCTATCTAAGCACCTACCGCTAAATACAACGCCGACAACGTAGCGGTTGCGAGCTTTATCGACGAGCTTGCAGCTTGCGTTCCCCGCCCTTTTCAAGCTTACTTTCGCTTAATCTTCAAAGAATGGTTCGATATCGGCGTGAAAGTCTTATACTGCTCTTACGCTATTGGTTCGCTTAAGGAATACCTCTTTGTCCACACCCTTCCCTTTTCCATTCAAAGTGCGTTAAAGGTGCTAGCAGTTTAAGTGTCTAAAGAGTTCAAGAGAATAGACTCGTAGAACGCATAAGAAGCAAGTCTTATTACCGCTACTTTTAAATACCGTCTTAAAGTATATAAAGAGTGTATCGCAATCAAAGAACAAGAGCTCAAGCATCTCGAATCCTTGGCCGACGATAAAGCAGCTAAGACTATAAAAGAACTCACGATTAAGAAAGTCACCGAATTACTCGGCTTTTTTTTTTCAAGTACGGCAAACAAATCGAACGATTATCTTAAAGATAAGACTCGTACGTGCTCGCAATTAAGTATGACTTAGCTCCGAAAGTCTTTTAGCTTCGGACTAATAAAACATCAAAATAAGCTTGCCGTAAAGCTGAGTAAGCTGAAGCTTAAAGAGGATACGGATACTTACATAAGCAATTATAAGGCAAACGATATCACTCGCGTAGTTGAGCTCGCGGTTGCCAAAGCTTTGAACAAGTCTAGTAAAGCGAAAAGCGCACTTCCGAAAAGTAAGTCTTTTAGTCTCCGCATTAAAGTCTTAACTAATTCAAGAGATAGGTGCTAAAAAGTCTAACCTTAAGCCGAACAAAGCTAAAGGTAGCCTTAAACCAAAGAAACCTTAACTAAACTCAAGGAAAAGAAGAAAAGGAAATGAGAGTAGAAAGAAGAAACCAAAAAAGAATTAGCGGGATTAGATAATCAGCTAGCTTTTTAATCAAAACAATTTCGGTTGAATGATTTGTCTTTTTACTTTCGCACGTAGTTTGAAAAACTCGTAGATATTAAAGCTTAATAGTTACTACCTTATAATAAACTTGAATATCTTAATAGTATTTTAAGTACTCAATCAGATATATTTTAAAGGCCTAACGTATTTCTTTTAGAAAATATACGGCAAACGCTATCATTAAACGGGAAATTTATTTTACACGATAAAATAAGATCACAATTAGTACGCGAAGCTTAGCTAAAGCTCTAACGATCTATTAAAACTAAATTCTACTTTAAAGATCGACTAGTAAACCCAAGTTATATACCTCAATTCTATATTAAGCAAGACGATTAAGATCTATCTAAAGCTTTTAATGAATTAAAGAGTAGGTTAATAAAAATCAAACATGCATTATATAAACAGATCAATGCTTTGCCGAAGTTAACTCTACGCTATAACTTTAATTTGCGAGATTTAAAGCAGTATTTAACCGAGAAGAATTACTTCGTTAAAATAACTAATAAAAATCTAGGCTTAAGCGTTATTTCGCTTGATTAATATAAAGAACAAGTTGCAATCTATATAAGTAATACGAAAGCGTATACTTTACTAGATTTTATACTTATATCACTTGGTAAACAGCTAAAAGAAATCTATGAATCCTTTTATTTGCTTGCTTTTATTAAAAAGTATATTCGCGCTAGCACGAATGATTTGCTTACGTTTTATATAATACTTAAAGTATATAAGCATCCGTAAGCCTTTAGACCAATCATCTTAAGCTATAGCTGGATAACGTCGCGAGTAGCGGAAGTAATAGATTACGCTTTATAACCAGAACTTCTTAACTTTCTAAGCGTTTTGACTTCGATATAAGATTTCTTAATAAAGATTAAAAAGGTCGATTCTTTCGACGGGTGCTAGATTGTAACGGGTAACGTTATAGCCATGTATACTAATATAGACTCTTTTCGGGCTATCGATTCGATTAAAACAATAATCGGACGAGCGTTGAAAGGAATTCGAAAGAGTGATTTGACGAAGATAATAGAATTCGTCTTATTAAATAACTTTTTTAAATGCTAAGATAAGATCTATTAATAACGCAGTGGTTTAGCTATAAGCGTCGCTTGCGCTTCGATTTTAGCAAACCTTTATTGCGGATTGTACGAAAAAGGTCGTTTTAAATATCGCAATAATAAGATTAAATTTTACGGTCGCTTTATTAACGATATCTGTCTTATCTATAAAAGCATAGAAAGCGAGCTGAACACTTGGTTAAGCGAATGGAAGCTACTAGGCTTAGATATTACGTAAGAATATTTTAAACATTTAGCTTACTTTCTAGACGTTGAGCTATTAATCGTAAAAGATCGATTGGTCACGAGAATCTACGAGAAAGCACTTAATCGTCATATGTATATTCTTTTCTCTAGTGCTCACCCTCTTGCAACCAAGAGAGCTTTCGTTAAAGCCGAGCGAGTGAGATATAATACAATTTGCACGCGATTTAAAGAAGCGAAAGCGTGCGAACGTAAATTGTATTTAAATCTTTTAAGACGAGGTTATCTTTAAAAGATGCTGAATAAATGGTTTAGCGAGACCTTTAAGGTGATCGAGCGGCTTATCTTTAAGCTAATACTCTCCTCCGAGTATAATCTAGTATAAGAATATATACGTATTAGTCCGCTAAAAGACATCTTGCGAAAAATGTTTACCGAGGATTTCGATGATTTAGATAACATCGTAACTTCGCTAAAGCGAGGGAGAAGTCTATACGACTCTTTCAATTTCTATAATTTAACGCTATTAAATGCGTATGAGCCGAAAGAAGGAATATAATATTCGAAACGCCGTATTTTTAACGATTTCTTTTATTATTGAACTTTAGTTTAGACCTTTGAAAAGAAGTACGAGAGCTGTCTACTTTTGTTAAAAGCGAGGCGCGTTTGTATACTGCTTAAGTAACAAGCGGCTCGACGCTCGTAGCGCTAAAAAGCGTTAATGCGGTGACGTCGGTGACGAGTAGCGAAGGTAGTGATAACGCTTTCGCTAACTAATAAACGCCGGCTATATTATATTTTAATAGATTCTAATACGATCTATCGAGACAAGAATACAAGATAAGAACAAAAAAGGTTAAAAGGCTTTAAGAAAGTGAGAAGTTCAAACCTTTTCTTTACCTTAACTTTTAACTTTAAACTTAACCTAACCTTAACCTTAACTAGAACCTTAACCCGGACCTTAGTTTAAGCTTACCTTATTATATTAGTCAGCCTTGGAAACTTTACGTGGTCATTGCTTACGGAGACTACCTTGAGAGAAAGGGACTTACGAGAAAGCGAATACCTTTCGGGGTATTTGCGGGACTTCTTCGGAGACCTTCGGAAAGAACCTATTTTAAAAGGTCTCGTTAGCACTATCAAGCAGAACCGTAGAGTCACTCAATACAAAGGGAAAACTGACCTAAGAAAAGAAATAAAGCTTACGATAGAAACGGCGCAATACCTTCGATGAAAAGAATAAAAAGCGATAATCAAGAATCTCGCTCTTTGCATATTGTTATAGTATATAATAAAAGGGGATATCGGGTTATATATATAGACCGTAGACTTAGTAGCATCGCGTATATACTTTCGCTTATCGTGTCCGGCTACGCCGCAAGGTTTATTCGGAACGTTAAAGTTAAAGTTTTACACTTTGCTAACTAAGTGCACAGCTTACTTTAGCGAAGTATTTAATAGACTTTATGCACGCATATATGCGCGCATGCGCGCATATATGCACGCTTATCGTCGTATTAAATATACGAAACCTTAGAAAGCCGCGCGTTTAGTTTAAGTTTGCGCGATTAATATAACTCGAATCTTTCGATATTGATATACTTATATAAATCCTTTAGATCGAGGACTAAAGTTTACGGGTGAGCAAGGGTATTGATTGTATGACTTACTCGGCTTATACCGAGCTTACGCTGAAGCTTAAGTATATAATACCTAGCCGCCGTACGAGTCTTTGAAGAGCTAGGCGAAACAGTTTGATTCTTTGCAACTGATTGTCGGACTCCTACTCTTTTTGATTTCAATCTGCCTTCCAGCTACTCCCTAACCCTAACCCTAACCCTAACCCTAAGTCACGAGAATCTACGAGAAAGCACTCAATCGTCATATGTATATTCCCTTTTCCAGTGCTCACCCTCTTGCAACCAAGAGAGCCTTCGTTAAGGCCGAGCGAGTGAGATATAATACAATTTGCACGCGACCTGAAGAAGCGAAAGCGTGCGAACGCAAATTGTATTTGAATCTTTTAAAACGAGGTTATCTTTAAAAGATGCTGAATGAATGGTTTAGCGAGACCTTTAAGGTGATCAAGCGGCCTATCCTTAAGCTAATACTCCTTTCCGAGTATAATCTAGTATAGGAATATATACGTATTAATCCGCTAAAAGACATCTTGCGAAAAATGTCTACCGAGGATTTCGATGATTTAAATAACATCGTAACCTCGCTAAAGCGGAGGAGAAGTCTATACGACTCTTTCAATCTCTATAATTTAACGCTATTAAATGCGTATAAGCCGAAAGAAAAAATATAATACTCGAAACGCCGTATTCTTAGCGATTTCTTTTATTATTGAACTTCAGTTTAAACCTTTGAAAAGAGGTACGAGAGCTGTCTACTCTTGTTAAAAGCGAAGCGCGTTTGTATACTGCTTAAGTAACAAGCGGCTCGACGCCCGTAGCGCTGAAAAGCGTTAGTGCGGTGACGTCGGTGACGAGTAGCGAAGGTAGTGATAACGCTTTCGCTAACTAATAAACGCCGGCCATATTATATTTTAATAGATTCTAATACGATCTATCGAGACAAGAATACAAAATAGAAACAAAAAAGGTTAAGGGGCTCTAGGAAAGTGAGAAGTTCAAACCTTTTCCTTACTTTAACTCTTAAACCTTAAACCTAACTTAACCTTGACCCTAACCAGACCCTTAACCCGGACCTTGGTTTGAGCTTACTTTATTACATTAGTCAGCCTTGGAAACTTCACGTGGTCGTTGCTTACGGAGACTACCTTGAGAGAAAGGGACTTACGAGAAAGCGAATACCTTTCGAGGTATTTGCGGGACTTCTTCGGAAACCTTCGGAAAGAACCTATTTTAAAGGATCCCGTTAGCACTACCAAGCAGAACCGTAGAGTCACTTAATACAAGGGGAAAACTGACCTAAGAAAAGAAGTAGAGCTTACGATAGAAACGGCGCAATACCTTCGATGAAAGGAATAAAAAGCGACAATCAAGAATCTCGCCTTTTGCATACTGCTATAGTATACAATAGAAAAGGATATCGGGTCATATATATAGACCGTAGACTTAGTAGCATCGCGTATATACTTTCGCTTATCGTATCTAGCTACGCCGCAAAGTTTACTCGAAACGTTAAAGTTAAAAGTTTTGCACTTTACTAACTAAGTGCACAGCCTACCTTAGCGAAGTATTTAATAGACTTTATGCACGCATATATGCGCGCATGCGCGCATATATGCACGCTTATCGTCGTATTAAATATACGAAACCTTAAAAGGCCGCGCGTCTAGTCTAAGTTTGCGCGATTAATATAACTCGAATCCTTCGATATTAATACACTTGCATAAATCCTTCAGATCGAGGACTAAGGTTTACGGGTGAGCAAGGGTATTGATTGTATGACTTACTCGGCCTATACCGAGCTTACGCCGAAGCTTAAGTATATAATACCTAGCCGCCGTACGAGTCCTTGAAGAGCCAGGCGAAACAGTTTGATTCTTTGCAACTGACTGTCGGACTCCTACTCTTCTTGATTTCAATCTGCCTTCCAGCTACTCCCTAACCCTAACCCTAACCCTAACCCTAACCCTAATAATATCCTTTTATATTTA